TTTTTTTTTTTTTTTTTTTTTTTTTTTTTTTTCTGGCACAGTAATAGAACATCCTTGAGAGGTAGGGAGGGGAGGGTCCCTTTGTCTTGTGTCCAGTATATAATTGGAATTGTCAGAATCCTTCCCTAAATGTAAGGGACTTCTTTTTATATTTTCAAAGGGGTTTATGATTTGTAGTGGAAATCCATTACAATTCTCAATATTTGGAGCCCTGAATTTCCTCTGCAGCATATTGGTTAGACCTGAATTTGAAACTGCACAAATTAAGTTTCTCTGGGAAGCTTATGACATTGAAATGAGATCCAGTAGAGGGCAGAGTCTGGCTTGTGTTGGACCTAATCCATACCAGGTCCCTTCTCCACAGAAGATGGGTAGGGAAGCTTGCAAGTCACCTGCATTCTAGAGTATCTAGTTTGTTGCATTTTTAACATGTATACATTTTGGCTTTTTCTTTTTAGGCTTACCTAATCAACTGTGTTTGGAACTGCTACAAATATATCAATAACAGAAACATGCCAGAGATTGCAGTGTATCCTGCCTTTGAAGCACCTCCACAGGTTGACTCCTGTTTCATACACTAAAATGTCACTAGCTCATAATGATTGTTCGAGAAGAAGAATGTAGGACTTGACCTTCTTTCTTTGCCATTACTGTGGGTTGGGGCATGAATAGCTTAAATCCATAAATCTATAGGATTTAGCATTTCCCACTGGGAATCTTGGGATTCTGCACTGTTGCACCTGGCTTGGCTGTTAGGTTTGTTGATAGCCATCCCTACAAGTCCCAAGTGCTGTTTCTGGGCAAATAAGATAGGAATAGCTATGACAGGCTCATGAGGGATTCCAGAGGGGCCAAGGCTACCACCAGTTAAAACTTCTGTGTATATCTGTGAGTGTGTGTATCTATGAAACAGAGAGAGAGAGAGACAGAGAGACAGAGAAAAGGGGGGAAGGGGAGGGAAAGGGGGAGGAGGAGGGTATTTAGCCATGTGATCTGAAGGGGGAACCCATGTGTTGGGGAGATATGTGCAGTGGATCCCATGAGTGTTGAGGAATCCTGCACTTTTTGCTGCTCTCCTGTCTTCTCAGGTTTTCAGCACATAGGCTGTAAAGCACCCATGTAGAGCCAGCCTGTCAACACTTGGAGGCTCATAGGTTAGAGTGGGCTTAAGGAAGCTATGTCTGATGTGTCCATTATCCTAGGGTGTAGGCTAGAAGCCCATTGTCCTTTTGACTACAAACAGATTATGATGAAACTCAAGATCCCATATCTTCTAGCAGCTTTCTGTAGAGTGGTTAGTGGGACCTCCTCCTCACCCAGATCTTTGCCTCTGAGGTAATTAGCACTGGTACTTTTATCAGTCACCCTGGAGAGGAAAGGACACAAACTGCCTGTCTGGAGAGCCTTTGTATTCTCCAGGTTAGTCCAGAGGAAGACTTCTCATTCTGTCTGTCTAACATCCATCCATCCGTCCGTCCATCCGTCCGTCTTGGGCCAGCATGTCACTGTATGAGGAGTTGAGGTTGTTCGGACATCCTTATTCTCAGAACTGTTGCACTGACAGTGCAGTTCATCCTGTAGGATTGTGTGTTCCTATTTAGGACACAAAGCCTGTAAGCCGGGTTATTCCAGTAAAGTTTTTAAAGAAACATTAAGTTGACTGTAATTTTGTTTTTTCTCTTCAGTATGTTTTGCCAACCTATGAAATGGCCGTGAAGATGCCTGAGAAAGAGCCACCGCCTCCTTACCTGCCTGCCTGAGGACAGTCTGCCTTTGTCAATAAACCTATACCAGCTTCTCATCTTGTATATTTTACAGAATGCTGCAATGCTGGGCTCTCAGACTTGTGTGATATAAAGTACATTGTCTTTTGTTTAAGCATTTATTTTCAAACACTAAGGAGCTTTTGGACACTGATTAAAAACTGTTTCTGTTAGGTCTATTACATTTTAAAACCCTTTGAAGACAATCTAGGTTAAGCAAGAGGAAGGTGCCATTGTAAGCCTTTAATGGAGGGATGGGGAGGGGAAGGGTAGTCTCCGTGTATTTTTTTTTATCTTTGCACTTTCTTTGTATAATGGTTTGTGTTTTGGATGTTTGCTGCCCTGGATAATTTCAGGAAGAATGAATTCAGGATGAGTGAGTTGGGCATAAGATCTGTCCGAAACAGGGAAAATAAGTAACATTTTGACTTGACCATGGAAGTCAGTGGTTGCATGTTTCTAATTTGTACGTTTCCATCTTTGTAATAAGATGCTTTAATAAATCTCTTAAATTTTTCTGTTGTCATTTTTCTAAACTTTTTTTTTAGATAAAGCCTAATGTTGTCTATTACAGTATACAGTTAATGTGTTACTTCATGTTAGGGATAGGTTCTGAGAAATTTCAAGTGGTTTTCTCCTTTTTTAAAGAATTTGTTTTGGTTTTTGTTTTTCATAAGTGGGGAAAGGAAGTCTGTTGCTGGTTCCCGAATAGAGACATGAGTGAGGAGCAGAGGTAAGAGAGGAGTCAGGAAAAGGGGAAATTGGAACCCTTTGGGCAGAGGAAAGATTCCAGCTCACCAGGGGCAGGTATGAGTTTATGGCACAGCTTAGCTTACAAACCCTAGGCAGAGAATCAGGAGAGGCTAAAACAGGATGTTTTTAATGTTCAGAGCCTGTTAGAGTCCTCAGTACGCTCACGAGAGCATTTGTGCATGTCTGGCTTATTGGGCTCTTCAGGGGTGTTTTCTCTGGTCTCTAAGGATTGACTAGAGTGGTTAACCATGGATTCTCTTCCAGGCACTCCAATAGCTGTTGGAGTGGCTAGAATCACAGTATGAGGTCACTGTCAGGTGAATTTGGAATCCTACACTGTGGTCATGTCTCAGAGGAGCTTCTTTAGGGTCCCTTTGTGGTCTCCACGTGCTACCAGAAGTTTTGAGGAGTCCCACATTGGGCAACATGTTATTGTTGGGGGAAATTGGGGTCCCCTTCCTGTGTTCTTAGTGTCACTATTAAATGAGACTCAGAAGGAAACTTGAGGACAGTTTTGGAGTTTGAGAGAAAAACAACAAGGCAGGCAAGCTATAACTCAGCTGCCCAGAGGTAGAAGGTGGAAAACAGAGAAAGCCATGCTTGTTTATAAGCAGCCGCATGGTAGAAGGGGGTAGGTAGCTTCAGAGAAAGATGAGAAATTCCAGTGTGAGGGAAAGCATGCCCAGGCTTTGGCCAGTGCCCAAAAGAATGGAAAAGAGGCAGGCTCCATAGCGGAAGCCCATAGTGTTGCTGGACAGAAGCTCTGCAGATGACTGACCTTGACTGGGGTTTTGAGACGGTCTTGTGTAGTCCAGGCTGGTCTTGAACTCATTTAGCTGAGGTTATTAATAGTTAAGAGACACTGCTACTGCCAAGGCGACTTTTTTTCTAACAAGCAGAAATATACTAACAAAATACAGTAAATATGTAACAGTTGCTAATCATCCAAAAACTATGTACTATACACATGTGCTGTTCTTTTGCATGACACAGAAGGCTCACTAGTGGTGTGAAGAAACAGCAGTGTGTGGCTATGGCAGTAACTACAGTGCAGCACTGGGTGACAGTGCTCCCCTAAGAGGTTTTCCTTTTTCTCTTTGGTGTGTGTGTGTCGGGTAAGGGGGGTGGGTAGCCCAGCCACCCAAATGCTAGGATTGCAAACATACACCACTGCACTTGGTTTCCATTAAATTCTTGGGACCACCGTCCTACATGTCTGTCAGCTGAAACCTGTTCAGACTGATGGGACTCAAAAATACAATCTAAAGATCTGGTGAAACTGGGTGTGGTGGCTCGTGCCTGATTCTAGCATGGGGGATCAGAGAGCAGGAGTCAAGGCAGGAAGATTTCAGCAAATTCAAGACTAGCCTGGGCTGCATTTTGAGTTCCAGGGCAGCTTGCACTAGAGTGGTCTCAGAAAACAAAAAAAGGTGAAGATACTTCTTGAGAGTCAGACCAGAAATTTCTTGCTGGTGTGTGCACAGAGGTCAGAGGTCAAACCCAGGTGTCTTCCTTAATCTCATTTTTGAGACAGTCTCTCACTGAACCTGAATTTCACTGATTTGACTGGATTGCCTGGCCAACAGATCCCAAGGACCCTCCCATCTCTGCCTTTCCAGTGCTTAGATGACAAAGTGCACCATCATACCTGGCTTTTTACATGAGTGCTGGGGGCTGAATTCAGACCCTCAAGCACTGGCTGAGCCATTTCCCCAGCCTCCAGAAACTAATACTGATGACTTGGTATAAAAATTATTTTAGTATAGCAACCTGCTTTTATGTTGTAATCATTTAGGTAATATGGCCATGAAGAGGAATTCAGATCAGCCCACACCAGTTCACTGTAAGCAAGAAACCAAATAGCAATCTAATGAGTAGGTTTGGAGAGTTAATGCTCACCATGGAGAGTGTAGAGATACTGTACGCTGAAAAATATATAAGGGTATTTTAGATAGTCTTAGTGTACACACATGGGCACAAAGATAACGGGGGTTTGTTAGCTTTTCAAAAACTTCAAATTTATTTTTATGTGTATGAGTGTGTTGCCTATGTGTGTGTGCTACGTGCACCACATGCATGCAATGCCCACAGAAGCCAGAGGAAAGCATCGGGTCTCCTGGAACTGGAGTTACAGGTGGTTACTACCTGTCATGTGGGTGTTGGGAGTGAAACCCAGGTCCCCTGCAAGAGCAGCCATTGCTCAACTGCTGAGCCATCTCTACAGCCCTGTCTTGCTAACTTTGAATGCATGCACACCGTAAATATATGCGGCTCTTAAAAGGGGGATGGGAAATAAGCAAACTAACTTGAAGGAACTGCGGCTTAAATTTTCCCTGGAAATCTTGCTTTTTCCATCTAAGGATGTAGCAGTGGTGACTTTATGCATAGACACATGGATGTATTTATACATGTTTCAAAGGGAGGGCAGAATTGGCTGCTGTTGGCTTTTGTGAAAACTGCCATCACAAAACAAATCACCAAACTTAGGAAGTGTAACTACAGGACTATAACCAGAAACCCAGATTCAGTAGTAGATGAATGTCTGTTATCTGTAACCAGAACATTTCAGAACTGGATAGCTTCTGAGCTAGGTTTCACTTTGCATAGCAACAAGCCTTCTCAGGTGATCTCTCAAATTTTTTGTTTCTGTTGATGTAACTATTCTTTGTTGAAGATCATGTTCAGCAACATTTAAATGTTAGCTGAATTCCTCCCCTCTGCTAGTAGTGCTAAGATTACAGCAAACATTTGAATACATCAGGCTGTTAGAAATGTACAAAGGCACAGCAGCTATGGAGAAGACAGGGGCTCCTTAAAACATTGGAATGGGCAAGCAGTCCTACCGCTTGGCATTAATGCAAAACAATTGGAATCAGAAGCCCCCCCAAGGCACTCCCATGTTACACTACTGTTCACAGTGACCAATATGTGGGAATGAAGCATCCATTTGTAGATGGATAGAAAAATGTTACTATATATAATGTAATTCAGCCTTAAAAAAGAATTTAGGGGTTGGAGATGTAGCTTGGTAGAACACTTTAAGGGCCTGGGTTCTGTCCTCAGCTCTGGGGCGGGGGGGGCAAATAAAAATAATGGCATTCTGTAATATGTACCAAGTTGAGTGTTTGAATGAAAAGCCAGTCACAGGAAGGTAGATTTGCTTGATTCACCTACCTCGGTACCTAAAACAAATTGTAGACCCCAAGAGTAGAGTGGTTTCCAGGAGCAGGAGGGAAAGGGCTATGGGTAGTTACTAATTAATGGGCATAAAGTTTAAGCAATGTTTCTAGAATATTCAGAGTTAATAATGTACACTTGAAGAGGCTGATCTTGTGTGAGGTTGAATGCAATAAAGCAAAACTTTCAGCTTTCAGGACTTTGTATTGAGGTTTGCCTCAGTTCTGTTCAGTTCCTTCTCTAACTGCCCACATCCAGGCCTTGTTGCCTCATTTTTTCAACTTTCACTTCCCTCTATAAATGTATCTTCACTCTACAGAGGGTCCAAGTGTTTCCAGTTTCCTCAAAAGTCCTGTGAAGTCCCTTTTCTCAAATAAGCCTGCAGTCATACCTGCTCTCTAACATTTCTGACACATTTTGAGTAATGGGAGGTGTGGCCTTCTGAGATCTCTTGGTGAATTGCTTGGCTTTCCTCTCAGTTACTCCAGCACCTGGGACCCAGCTCCATTACAGCTTGTGTCATACTGTCACTGGGTCTCTAGTAGCAAACACCTTGCAGATACAGAAGTAGTTCTTACTTTTTCTGTTGACAACACAGAATTGAGGGTGGAGGGAAGTAAACAATTACTGAGTGATGGGGCTGTAGAGATGGCTCAGTAGTGAAGTACTGGATGGTCTTGGAAAGGACCTGGGTTCAATTCTCAGTACCTATTTCGTGGCTAACAACTGCCTGTAACTCCAGTTCCAGGGGATCCATTGCCCTCTTCTGGCATCTATGGGAATTGCATGCATGTAGTACACACGTACAGGCAAGCAAAAACACTCATACACATAAATTTAAAATTTTTTTTATTATTTTAATTTTATGTGTATGCATGTATTGCCTGCATGTAGGTAAGTGCACCCATGTTTTACAATGCCTGTGGAGGTCAGAAGAGGCTGTTGGATCCCCTGGGACTGGAGTTATAGACAGTTGTTAGCTGCCATGAGGGTGCTGGGATTCAAACATGGGTCTTCTGCAAGAACAACCAGTGTTCTTAACCGCTGAGCCATCTCTCCAGCCCCATATACACATAAAACTTAAAAAATAATAATGGGCTGGAGAGATGGATCATTGGTTAAGACCACTGACTGCTTATGCAGAGGACCTGGGTTTGAGTCCTAGCACCCACATGGTGGCTAGCAACAGTCCGTAACTCCAGTTCTGGGGATCCGATGCCCTCTTCTGATCTCCACAGGTATTGCACAACATGGGTGCACTTATGTGTGGGCAATACACTCATAAAATTAAAATAATAAAAAATAAAAAGAGCAATAACTATTCAGGTTTGTGTCTGTACTTACATGTTCTTCCTGAAATTTAAAAAAAAAAAATCACGGAATGAAAAGAATTTTCCTTTGCTGATAGCTTCGTTTCCAACATAGATTGGGAATATACCAGTATACATAGTGCACTAACATTTAAAGATCTTGCAGTACAAAGCCATGGCTGGGTGTGGTGGTGCATACTTTTAATCCCAGCACTCAAGAGGTAGAGGCAGGCAAGTCTCTGTGAGATCAAGGCCAGCCTGGTCTACATAGCAAGTAGACT